TAGAACAGAACTAGAACAGAACTAGAACAGAACTAGAACAGAACTAGAACAGAACTAGAACAGAACTAGAACAGAACTAGAACAGAACTAGAACAGAACTAGAACAGAACTAGAACAGAACTAGAACAGAACTAGAACAGAACTAGAACAGAACTAGAACAGAACTAGAACAGAACTAGAACAGAACTAGAACAGAACTAGAACAGAACTAGAACAGAACTAGAACAGAACTAGAACATAACTAGAACAGAACTATAATAGAACAAGAACAGAGCTAGAGCAGAACTAGAACAGAAGTACAACAGAACTAGAACAGAACTAGAACTGAACTAGAACAGAACTAGAACTGAACTAGAACTGAACTAGAACTGAACTAGAATTGAACTAGAACTGAACTAGAACTGAACTGGAACTGAACTAGAATTGAACTAGAACTGAACTAGAATTGAACTAGAACTGAACTAGAACTGAACTGAACTGGAACTGAACTGAACTAGAACAGAACTAGAACTGAACTAGAACTGAACTAGAACTGAACTAGAACAGAACTAGAACTGAACTAGAACTGAACTAGAATTGAACTAGAACTGAACTAGAACTGAACTGGAACTGAACTAGAATTGAACTAGAACTGAACTAGAACTGAACTAGAACTAGAACTGAACTAGAACTGAACTAGAACTGAACTAGAACTGAACTAGAACTGAACTAGAACTGAACTAGAACTGAACTAGAATTGAACTGGAACTGATCTAGAACTGAACTAGAACTGAACTAGAACTGATCTAGAACTGTACTAGAACTGAACTAGAACTAGAAATTATTTTGAAGTTGAATGCAGACTTTTATATTTTCACTATTAATTTACAATGATGTTTTTACAACAAAAAAAATGACTAAGTGCTTTTTTCGCTAAGCGTACGACATCTACATATGACTGTGTGTAAAACTCTGCTAAATTCAGCATCTAAATTAAACGCATTTTCATTGTAACGCTAAGAAAAATACATATTTGCATTTAACCATTGTTGCATGGCGTTGTTTTAATTTTTTCCTCCGATGTATGTTCATGTATCTTTTTTCTGGTACTGCGGTGTCTTACGAAGCTTTTCTACACATGTGAACAAAAATTTGTTTATTCTGTTTTATGTTTTCACTAAAACTTGTATTTAAATTTGTTTATTTTAATTTTTGGTAGTACATGAATTCTTTCAGAAAATGTTTGTATATTCCTTTAAACGCGGTATTGTTTGTTAAAATGAAAACCAAGTTAAACAGAGAATATAGAAGTGACTAAATATTTGTGCGATTTGTATTATTCACCTAAAGGCGCTGGATATCATGTTGAACATATTCTTTGTTTTTATTTTTTCAGTTTTTCATTTATGGTATTTTTTAATAGTGTGTTAAAAATGTGACATTTTTGTTGATATCTTTTGTTTTCAATTTTCTAGTTTTAAATACACATGTAAATTGTTTATGTTTTTTTTAGGTTAAATGGTGTGAATAGAAAATTGTTTGAAATTATTGCAACCATTAAGACAACAAGGTTGAGGTGAAGTCTAAAAAAATGATTGACAACTGCAGTTTTGTTTTAAATGCACGAACAATATGTAATTTATAACTGACTCATTTACACTTAATTGACATTTAAAATTTGTAAAAATTACATAAAAATATGTTTACATGGCGTAAGTATCTACAATGCTGCATTTGATAAAAGGAATTTGCAAGAGAATACTACATCATATTCAATATCTCTTTGTCTTTTTACTTCAACTTGAGAATTTTGGTATAATAAAATGTAAACATTTCACTTACCTTTTTAATAAATTTAAGTGTTCTTTACCTGAAAAAATAATTTAAAATATACAGATAAACATGTAAGTACATTTATGGTCATAGATATAAAATTTAATTGTAAAATAAAACTAAAATAGAACTCAAATAGCACTAGAACAGAACAAGTACAGAACTAGAACATAACTAGAACAGAACTAAAACAGAACTAAAACAGAACTAAACAGCGCTAAAACAGAGCTAAAACAGAACTAGAACAGAACTAGAACAGAACTAGAACAGAACTAGAACAGAACTAGAACAGAACTGAACTAGAACTGAACTAGAACTGAACTAGAACTAGAACTGAACTAGAACTGAACTAGAACTGAACTAGAACTGAACTAGATCTGAACTAGAACTGAACTAGAAATGAACTAGAACTGAACTAGAAACGAACTAGAACAGAACTAGAACTGTAACAGAACTAGAGCAGAACTAGAACAGAACTAGAACAGAACTAGAACAGAATTAGAACAGAACTAGAACAGAACTAGAACAGAACTAGAACAGAACTACAACAGAACTAGAACTAGAACAGAACTAGAACAGAACTAGAACAGAACTAGAGCAGAACTAGAACAGAACTAGAACAGAACTAGAACAGAACTAGAACAGAACTAGAACAGAACTAGAACAGAACTATAATAGAACAAGAACAGAGCTAGAGCAGAACTAGAACAGAAGTACAACAGAACTAGAACAGAACTAGAACAGAACTAGAACAGAACTAGAACAGAACTAGAACAGAACTAGAACAGAACTAGAACAGAACTAGAACAGAACTAGAACAGAACTAGAACAGAACTAGAACAGAACTAGAACTGAACTAGAACTGAACTAGAACTGAACTAGAACTGAACTAGAACAGAACTAGAACAGAACTAGAATAGAACTAGAACTGAACTAATAGAACAAGAACAGAGCTAGAGCAGAACTAGAACAGAACTAGAACAGAAGTACAACAGAACTAGAACAGAACTAGAACATAACTAGAACAGAACTAGAACAGAACTAGAACAGAACTAGAACAGAACTAGACAGAACTAGAACAGAACTAGAACAGAACTAGAACAGAACTACAACAGAACTAGAACAGAACTAGAACAGAACTAGAACTGAACTAGAACTGAACTAGAACTGAACTAGAACAGAACTAGAACAGAACTAGAATAGAACAGAACAGAACTAGAACAGAACTAATAGAACAAGAACAGAGCTAGACAGAACTAGAACAGAACTAGAACAGAATAGAACAAAACTAGAACAGAACTAGAACAGAACTAGAACAGAACTAGAACAGAACTAGAACAGAACTAGAACAGAACTAGAACAGAACTAGAACAGAACTAGAACAGAACTAGAACAGAACTAGAACAGAACTAGAACAGAACTAGAAACAGAACTAGAACAGAACTAGAACAGAACTAGAACAGAACTAGAACAGAACTAGAACAGAACTAGAAGAACTAGAACAGAACTAGAACAGAACTAGAACAGAACTAGAACAGAACTAGAACAGAACTAGAACAGAACTAGAACAGAACTAGAAACAGAACTAGAACAGAACTAGAAACAGAACTAGAACAGAAAGAGAACAGAACTAGAACAGAACTAGAACAGAACTAGAACAGAACTAGAACAGAACTAGAACAGAACTAGAACAGAACTAGAACAGAACTAGAACAGAACTAGAACAGAACTAGAACAGAACTAGAACAGAACTAGAACAGAACTAGAACAGAACTAGAACAGAACTAGAACAGAACTAGAACAGAACTAGAACAGAACTAGAACAGAACTAGAACAGAACTAGAACAGAACTAGAACAGAACTAGAACAGAACTAGAACAGAACTAGAACAGAACTAAACAGAACTAGAACAGAACTAGAACAGAACTAGAACAGAACTAGAACAGAACTAGAACAGAACTAGAACAGAACTAGAACAGAACTAGAACAGAACTAGAAAGAACTAGAAAGAACTAGAACAGAACTAGAACAGAACTAGAACAGAACTAGAACAGAACTAGAACAGAACTAGAACAGAACTAGAACAGAACTAGAACAGAACTAGAACAGAACTAGAACAGAACTAGAACAGAACTAGAACAGAACTAGAACAGAACTAGAACAGAACTAGAACGAACTAGAACAGAACTAAACAGAACTAGAACAGAAAAAAAAAAAAGAAAGAACAAAAAAAAAAAAAAGAAAAAAAAAAAAAAAAAAAAAAAAAAAAAACAACAAAAAAAAAAAAGAAAGAAAAGAAAAAAAAAAAAACTAGAAAGAAAAGAAAAGAAAAAAAGAAAAGAAAAGAAAAAAGAAAAGAAATGAAAGAAGAACGAGTAAGAAAGTATAGTCGGGCTTGACCGACCATATGTTATGAATATTAAATGTGATTTATTTTTCATAATAAAGCATTTATCTTTAATATTCCCTTGTTCCGATACATTTAAGCAATTTATGGATGAAAAACTAATTTTCTGAAAGAGGCTTTATATGGGGGCTAGGGGCAAATATGGACCAAGCCCGATAACATTTTGTGAATATATTTATATTTACATAATATTTTATTGTGCTGTATATTTAACATAATTATGAGCTCAAAAATTTTGAATAATTTATCACTTTGGTTGACACTTGATTAATATTAAGGACAAATGAGAATAATATTGATGTTATGTAAGCATCATTCTAAATACCTACCTTTAATCTAATTATACAAATTATGCATTTATATTTATTTTTTTTTAATTATTTTTTTAATTACACAAAAATTTCAAAATAATTAATTATTTACAATAATTTACAAGCTAAAATTCATAAGAAAATGTACATACATATAATTAGAAAATAAATTACACTAAAGATAAACAATTAAAGGTGAAATTAAAAATATATATTTGCTATTTTACAATCAAAATAAAGATAATTATTTTATGCACAAGTTTTTTATTTTAAAATATTTTATTTAAATAAATGATTATTATATTTTTACTTCTAAATATTGTATGTCTTTTTAATACAATACACAAATACTAAAACTATGACTGGTTTTTGCATTTGCAATAAGTCTCAGCGACTGTCGCCTATTTTGCCTCCTCATACCTCCTGTCTTCAGAAGCAGCCGTCTTTAGTTGCTGTTTGGCTTTTGGCTGCTTTTATGAGAATTTCATACCGATCAATTGATCGATTGTTTTGCTTTATGGTTGTTGTTGTTGTTGCTACTGCTGTTGTTTGTTGTTTTTGTGGTTCTTATTGTTGGTTTTAATTTAAAACTAAAACGTAAATCGTTGTAAATACGGAAAATTATAATAGTTAAATTCAGCATATGATGTGGGTCCATTCGATCGATAAGCCGATGTAAAATATGATGTTCCTAAATATGAAATTGTAAATAAAAAAATATAAATAAATAATTTTACTTTCATTTATTGCAAACACGTGACTCAAAGCACTTCACGATTAAGTGCTAAGAGGTTTAGTAGTATCAGTTTTTTAAGCATTCTTGTGTGTGTTAGTTACAGTGGGCATTTAAGCTTATTTGTTACCAGTAATTACGGAAATGCAAATTAGTAATGAATAAAGTTAACAGGTGTATTGTAACAGATTAATTTGCATACTTAAATAATATTCATCTTCATGCATATTTAATACTATAATTAACTCGTTAACAGCTAATCGATTTTTTGTATAACTTTCTAGAGATATCCCATAGTACTGAACCAGAACTAAACTAGAACTGAACTAGAACTGAACTAGAACTGAACTAGAACTGAACTAGAACTGAACTAGAACTGAACTAGAACTGAACTAGAACTGAACTAGAACTGAACTAGAACTGAACTAGAACTGAACTAGAACTGAACTCGAACTGAACTAGAACTGAACTAGAACTGAACTAGAACTGAACTAGAACTGAACTAGAACTGAACTAGAACTGAACTAGAACTGAACTAGAACTGAACTAGAACTGAACTAGAACTGAACTAGAACTGAACTAGAACTGAACTAGAACTGAACTAGAACTGAACTAGAACTGAACTAGAACTGAACTAGAACTGAACTAGAACTGAACTAGAACTGAACTAGAACTGAACTGGAACTGAACTAGAACTGAACTAGAACTGAACTAGAACTGAACTAGAACTGAACTAGAACTGAACTAGAACTGAACTAGAACTGAACTAGAACTGAACTAGAACTGAACTAGAACTGAACTAGAACTGAACTAGAACTGAACTAGAACTGAACTAGAACTGAACTAGAACTGAACTAGAACTGAACTAGAACTGAACTAGAACTGAACTAGAACTGAACTAGAACTGAACTAGAACTGAACTAGAACTGAACTAGAACTGAACTAGAACTGAACTAGAACTGAACTAGAACTGAACTAGAACTAAACTAGAACTAAACTAGAACTGAACTAGAACTGAACTAGAACTGAACTAGAACTGAACTAGAACTGAACTAGAACTGACCTAGAACTGAACTAGAACTGAACTAGAACTGAACTAGAACTGAACTAGAAATGAACTAGAACTGAACTAGAACTAGAACTGAACTAGAACTGAACTAGAACTGAACTAGAACTGAACTAGAACTGAACTAGAACTGAACTAGAACTGAACTAGAACTGAACTAGAACTAAACTAGAACTAAACTAGAACTGAACTAGAACTGAACTAGAACTGAACTAGAACTGAACTAGAACTGAACTAGAACTGAACTAGAACTGAACTAGAACTGAACTAGAACTGAACTAGAACTGAACTAGAACTGAACTAGAACTGAACTAGAACTGAACTAGAACTGAACTAGAACTGAACTAGAACTGAACTAGAACTGAACTAGAACTGAACTAGAACTGAACTAGAACTGAACTAGAACTGAACTAGAACTGAACTAGAACTGAACTAGAACTGAACTAGAACTGAACTAGAACTGAACAAGAACTGAACTAGAACTGAACTAGAACCGAACTAGAACTGAACTAGAACCGAACTAGAACTGAACTAGAACTGAACTAGAACTGAACTAGAACTGAACTAGAACTGAACTAGAACTGAACTAGAACTGAACTAGAACTGAACTAGAACTGAACTAGAACTGAACTAGAACTGAACTAGAACTGAACTAGAACTGAACTAGGACTGAACTAGGACTGAACTAGAACTAGAACTGAACTAGAACTGAACTAGAACTGAACTAGAACTGAACTAGAACTAGAACTGAACTAGAACTGAACTAGAACTGAACTAGAACTGAACTAGAACTGAACTAGAACTGAACTAGAACTGAACTAGAACTGAACTAGAACTGAACTAGAACTGAACTAGAACTGAACTAGAACTAGAACTGAACTAGAACTGAACTAGAATTGAACTAGAACTGAACTTGAACTGAACTAAAACTGAAATAGAACTAAACTAAAATAGAACAGAAGTAAAACTGAATTAAAATTTAAGTAACATTATCATTGAGTTTCCGAATCTCTGTTCCCATAAAAACCTCCAGTTCCCTTAAGGGTTAAATGCATTTAGTAATTTTTAATTTATACGTTACGTTTTACATCATTTTATTTGAACTTTTAAAATACATGTAAAATATCGCATGTTGTTACAAGTTTTAAAACAAACGTTACCATTCACTACAGCATCTGTTTTAGTTAATAAATATTTATAAATATTTACACGTAACTATTTATGAATATTTAAATTGATATCTAAGCCATAACATTCAAAGATACTGTTTTTTTTAGATTTACTAGTAATTGTTAAGATGAGGGGGCGTGTTAGTTAGTTATAAGTTGTAGCTATGTAAATGTTTTTATTTAAAACCTATTTACTTAATTCCTTACATATAAAGTGATTTTTATTATTGGTTTTATTTATAAATATTGTTTTTTTTAGCTTTCCAACAGATGTTAAATATTTCATTGGTTATAAATAACGTCAACGTTATTTAATGACGCTTCGTCGCCAGAAGACGGTAGCAGAGAACTTAGCAACAGACAACAGTCTGTCTGATCGATCGAATTGGAAGTAGATGAACGAAAACAAACAACTTGTTGCATTGTGTTTTTTACAGTTGTAAATTTTAAACAAATTGTTTTAAATTAACTGGTTTTTTTGTTTTAATTTCTGGTAAGACAATATTTTGTGTATGTGTGTTTGAATGTATTTACATACATATTGAATTGTTGAAGTATTTGCATTTTGAGGTAAAGTTAAATTTGTTAAGTTATAGGTAACATAATTCTGAACAGAAATAGGTACCACATAGAGCAAGTGATCATATTTGATCCCCTTTAGAGCTTACGATTTTTATTGGTGTTTCTATAACTTTCGTGAGTAATACAAGATCTGTTATTTCTTGAGGTGTGTCATGATATTGGGCAGGGCGTTTACAATTCGTGTTTGCCTATTTAAATTTTGTAATCTATTTAAAAGCTTAAGAAGATACACGTACATACATATCGTCAATTACTAAACGTTTTATTATCGCTGTATGCTAGAGATCAAATATACATATTGTTCAACAGTTAGCGATTACTTTAGTTATCTTTGGTCTATGCTCGAACTAAATGTGGGTCAAATTATCTTTAATCGATTCTTAAAATAAGATTAAGGCAAACAAATATGAGAAAAGTCCAACAAAGTAAAGTGTGCCTTTAAAATGTGTTGATATTTATGGCCCACAAAGTATGAATGACTTTAAATGCCAATATTTAATTTACATAAATTATTATGAAAAATGTTTTAATTATAATATATTTAAAGTTTAACTAGAGTTATTGAATATTTAAGAAAAATTAAATAACTTCACGATATCAAAAACAATTTAAAACTTTTAGCTTATAAAATACAAAAGCACTGAAGGTCTGACTCTAAGTAAGCACTTTGTAATACTAATAGTAATTAATAAGTAGATCACTGATGACCTACATGTTTTTATGCTTTTAATTACAAGAGTTTCACTTACTTACATAGGCTTCAAGTTAAAATGTCAACTACCAAAGTAATTAGTAAGACTTTGAAATTATTTCTTCAATTTTAAAGTAAAAGTTAATGCGTTTATTGTTAAATATTAATTAACAATGTCACCAAATCATCAACCAAAACCAAACAATTAACACTGACAAAGTAGATCATGGAGTGTGTAGTCGATTACACAGTCATGCTACGTTGCTCAAGACCAACTAATAATATGATGATTAATTTGTCAGACTTTGCGTATGTTATAACAATGTTTAGTTATTAATTAAATAAAAATGTTAGTAATTTAAAATAAATATGAAGGTAAGAAAAATGTTCACTACCAAGTAACGTATTACTATTAATAATCTAGTAACTTTTCAATAACTGATTATTTTATGAATTACTTAGAAGTAGTTTAGTAATTATAAGATTATTATTATATTTTGAAATATTTTATTAAATAACAACTTCGGGAAGGTTCCCAAAAGAAATTTTATCCTTTAAAAATCGACAAAAAGTTTAAAGAGAAAGATTGGAACATTTTTAAGAACTAATAGTAAACATAGAAAAACTAACCTAAATAAAGAGAGACCACATTAGTTAAAGCAGCTTTTATAAGTCTGAGATAATGAGCGGATATAGAGAAAGATGTTGTTAAAAAATGCGTACTTACTTTAGAATGAGCAATCAATGAAAAGATACAATTAAATTTCCTGCACAAGGGATTACAATTTGATATTGGAGGCCTTATATCCTAAGGCTACCAAGGATGTTATGCATTTAATAAAGACATAAGCAAACTATCCCTAAAACTGATGTAGGAGTTTTTAAGAGAGATATGCGATCAGATGACTCAATACCCGAATGGGCTAACCAACCAAAATGGTTATATGCTTGTGGTCAATATTGGTTATATATTTATATTCATTTTGGTATATATTTATCAAGCAAACCATTGACGATCAGTTAAGATCACTGCTAGAACTTATTGTCATATTTTGTATCCTAACTTGGTTCTTAAAAATATATCGATATATACATATAGTGCTGGACTTAACTGGATGATCCAACGAGATCACAAACAGGACTTTGGCGATTATATGGTTCGAAAGAATATTTGCTGGTATGATGGGTATAAAGAGATGGAACCCAAAAGTCTATTAACTAATCTATAGAGTAGTCTATGGACTAGTCTATTGACTAATACATCCGCTAGTATAATACATAGTACTGCATAGTCTATTGACTAGTTTGTTGATTAGTCTATGGACTATTGACTTTTTCTATTTATAAAAAGTCGTCTTTTTGCGTTTTATAAAAAGACGACTTTTTCAACTTTTGTATTTCATGAAAAGTCGACTTTCTAACCTTTTTTAATATCTTGTTTTTCCGACTC